CTCCCTTCTTCCCTCTCTTCCCCTCCCCCCCCACACCTCTCCCAAAGTTATTAGAACTAGTAAACAGCTAGTTCAACTGGGAGATAAGCCTGCCATGGAAAATTTTACCTAAGGAGAGAGAGTTGGGAAAGGGCTAGAAAATATTTCTAGCTTCCTAGGGACAGGAAATTATATCCCATAATGTAGAAAAAAAGCCATCACCTTTCTGAAGGCAATTTTTTCATATCTGCACAACAGGCCTCATGCAAGGTTAAAAAGACGCCCACGGAGCACACCCATCCAGCAGTTAGCCCATACCTGTAGCTTTACACTTCCCTCTCTGGACTATGTCTTCACTCTAAAAAACCAAGGAAAGAAAAATAAGTGGGCCATACCTACACTTCTCATAACTCCAGATATGTAATGTATCTTCTTTCCAAAGAATAGACCTCTTGGAGTGTCGTTCCATATGCTGAAAGGTCGCAGGCTCAATTCCCGAGTACATGCCCAGGTTTCAGCTTTCAGGTCTGATCCCCAGCTGGGATGCATGCAGTAGGCAACTGATTGATAATTTCACTCTCACATCAATGTTTCTCTCTCTCTTTCTCTCCTCTCTCTCTGTGCTTCTCCCTTCCTCTCTAAAATCAATTTTAAAAAGTATGTCCTCCAGTGAAGATGAAAAAAAAAAAAAGAGCCCCTCCCCTCCCTCTCCCAATTTTAAAGTACACAATACCTTAAAGATAACTGCATTTAACATCTTAAAGCTAATTTTAAAACACCAGCAACTTAAAAGATAGGGAATTAAAGTAGCAAAAGGCTTAAAAGAGGTTTGCCCCCCAATGTCAAGATAAACTGTAAAACAATGATTAGGATTTATGAGGTTGAATTTCAACATTCCTAAGTCACCAAAACAATCATTTCTGGCATCTGCTTTTGGATGGGAAACTACAATAAAGCTAAAGGCTGCATAATTCTTTTCGCAATTAAGGATTGTGTTATTAATGTGGAGAGGCCACATTATTTCCCCAAAGCAACCTTCCTGAATAGGTGCCAGGCATAAAATTCTTCAAAGCCAACCAAGTCCCTGCCTGTGTAAATGCATCTCACTAGCTCTGTAAATTTAAGGTGGTGGTGAACCACTGAAACCAAAAAAGTCAGAAGATAAGGAAGTTAATTGAAGGTAAAAGCAAACAGAAAAACCACAAAACCAATTTGTTTTATTTTTAAACACTATCAAACAATCTTGCAAGTAAAGATTGATTCTGTAAAGCTGCCCAAATCCTTACAAACATCATGGACAACTCCTCCAGTTATATACACAAAGAACTGCTTAAAGCTACCAAGGACGAGGTCTACATTGGAAAGTGTAAGAACCCTGAAAGTCAAAGCTAGAACCAGAGCTGCAAGACACTACACTCTACCTACCCTCCCGGAAGACAAAGATGTTACTTGAAAAGCAAAAATTGGTGCTTAAGTCCTTATTTGATTTTCATATGGACCTAATTGGTTTTCAGTTTTGCTGAAGTAGTGATGCTTGCAATCATTTTAAGACAAATCTGTTCTAAGAAAAAAAACTTCTAAATACATTTACTTGGACCTGCCTACATCAAAAGTTATTAAGAGAAAGGAATTTACATTTATTAAGTTCACAATACCTCATTCAATCCTGTAATACTATCACCATTACAGTGGAGACTACTCTAAAGATGTAGATGCTA